GGGAGAAAGGGAGGGGGGGACAGGAGGAGAAAAAAAAGGGAGAGAGAGAGAGAGAGAGAGAGAGGGAAAGACAGAGAGAGAGAGAGGGAGAGAGAGAGAGAGACAGAGAAAGAGAGAGGAGAGAGAGAGAGGGAGAGACAGAGAGAGAGAGGGAGAGAGAGGGGAGAGAGAGAGACAGAGAAAGAGAGAGGAGAGAGAGAGGGAGAGGGAGAGACAAAGAGAGAGAGAGGGAGAGAGAGAGAGAGAGACAGAGAAAGAGAGAGGAGAGAGAGAGCGAGAGAGGAAGAGGACAACAAATAACAGAGAGAGGAAAAATTCACAGAGAAATCACCAACATTGACCAAAGCAAAGTTTAATACCATCACCTTTAATACCAAACATCCTTTATTTAAATCAGCACATTTCTCTTTGGTGATTGCATGTAAATTAATACAAACTCAGTCTTTTCCATTCTTCTGTCTCTTTTTCTACCAAAAACTGGATGACAAAACTCTTCAGTTTGGTGTTTTGGTCTGAACTTTCTCTTCTGATGAAGGACAGTTTCTGTCCATTTTATTTGTTGTTTCTGTTTTTTGTTTGTTTATTTTGGATATTTAAAATGTCTTCCAGTCTCAGTGTTAAATGTTCATTGGGATTTAAGTTTATCCATCTTTGTGTTCTTGCATTATTATGTCATGTGTTACTTGAAAACGGTCTCAAAACAACAATATTGTCGTTCATCACAATAAATTCTGGGACAATTTATCGTCCAGCAAAATTTGTTATCTTGACAGGCTTACTTTTTAACTTTTGCCCTCCAGAAAGGTGTTAATGGACAATTGATGATCATGAAGCTCGATTCAGAAGAAAACCACTAATGAAATATTTTTCACCGTCTGATTTTACCAAAGAGAAATGTCCAACATTGTTCATTCATGAAAGAAAGCAAAGAAAGACGGGCCACAGTCATCACATATCTCTACATATAAGACAAAGTCATTATTCTGCAGGTACGTTGAAGGTTGACCCTACCTGGATCTGGGACATCTGAGCGTAACCTCTCCAGCTGAAGTCTGGGAACTCCAGGAGGTTGTAACCGAATCTCACCGGCCGGCCGTCCAGCATGGCTCCCTCCTCTATCTCAAACTTCAGATGGTGCAGATCCGGGAAGTAATGATGCAGACGAGGCCTGCAGGCAAACAAGACAACCAAACCACCATGAAGACATGCTGAAAGTTACCGTTACAGAACTGACCTACCTCCCTCTTTTTAACATTTTTGAATTAAATCTTTTTCCTGACTTCGTCTTCCACTTGTTATGTAGCCAATTACTAGCAAATCCCTGCTTCCTTTACTTTTATGTACAAAATGGACATTTCAGATTTAGCGTCTTATGTTGAGATGCTTCATAAAGAGAGTCACAGTTGGGGTAAAGATGAGGATGTCTCTGCATTTATGAGAAATAAATGCAGTTCTGCCAGGCCTGTTAGACTCACTGGTTACACCTTGGCCCCTCCACGTTGGGTCTGCAGTCACACTGGCCGTTTTGTTGGCCACAAAACTGACCCACTGAGCCTCCGATGTCACACTGGCAACCTGAAAAACACTCATGCACATCAGCGACCAGCTGACGCAGAAAAACAGACATTTAAATCCATCAGGTGGTTAAAGACCCTCACCCTGGCAGCCGAAGTAACTGTGAGCCTGCAGGTTGTAGAAACCCTGTTTGCAAGTGGAGCAGGTTCCACTGCAGACGCCGGGCTTACAGTGACACTCTCCAGTTTCCTGCCACACACAGAAACACAGTCAGCACCATCAGCTACAGTAAACATAGGAAAAATGGAGAAAATCAAAAATATGCCAAGGACATGAAGTATTTCTTACATCCACCTCAACAGGAAGTAAAATCTTTCAGAAGAGATTTATGTTACTGAGGATATTATTTAAAATTAATTGTAAAAACATACAATTTCACCAAGTATTTTTGGTCTAATTTCTACCGCAGATATTTCATTACACTTGAAATAAGATAAAACTGACATTTTCAGTAAGATGTAGCAGCTTGTTTTAAGTAAATAATTCCTTAATATTGATGAAAAAGTTCTAGTTCCACTGGCAGATTATGAAAATGTATTTTTATAAGTGAAAGTTAAGGCTAAGATATAATTAATGTTAGAAATTCATCTATAAACACTTTATAACTCATTAATAACTAGTATTATGCATTAATTAAGTGTGAGAAGACGGCTGGATGACAAAAATTAAGACAACAAATGTTTATTGTGCTTACAAAGTAGACTGAAATGCTCAACTCCAGATAAAATGTATATATATGGTTCACTATTTGGTAAGAAACCAGTTGATTTTGCCTCCTTCTCACCCTTAATTAATGCATAATAAACAGTTATAATGATTTATAAAGTGTTTAAGTGTTTGAGCTAGACTTATATTTCACAGCTATCAGCTTCTCCAGCTGGTGTAGAGATGCTTTCAGAGGAGGAAGAAATGTTTATCTCACCTGTACACACTCTGCGACCCCACTCAGCGTCCCAGCGATGTTACACTCACAGCCTGCAGGAGAAACCAGACAGCTGTTAGATCTACGGGCTGCATCCACAGACATGAGGAATGTGTGAGGTTTCCTACTGGAGCATCCATCAGCGGCGTCAGGGGAAAGGTTCCAGTAGAGAGGTTTACATCGGTCACACGCCGGGCCCTCCACATGAAGTCGGCACTCACACTCGCCCTGCATGCACCAATCAGAGGCCATTAAAGCTGCAGGATCCAACTATTATCATACATTTTGTTTTTCCATATTGCTGAGAGTGTCATCATGTCGTGACAGTCGGTGAAAAAGTTTAGCTCCTCTGTCTTATCCCAGTGCTAATTAGAAACAACCAATCAGAGCCAGGAGGCGGGTCTTAGCGCTGCCAATCACAATCTTGCATAGCCTGTTGTGAATGCTAAGGCTTGTTAGCACAGTCATTGGTAGGGTTGTTTTCTGTAATGGTAAGTTGTTTCTCCGCCATTAACACATTTAGCAGCGAGTACATGAGTTTGATTGACAGCACTAAGCCCCTCCTCCTGGCTCTGATTGGCTGTTTTTGGATCATTTCTTCAGACAGCAGCAGCAGCTCTGGGAGGAGATGGAGGAGATGAATCTTTTTACAGATTATCCATCTCATAAAGATGTTACGGTGACACTTTTAACACAAATTTAAAAACCATATTCCTTTTAAAAGTTATATTCTGTAGCTTTAATTAAAACTGTTGAAAATGTAAACTTTGGAAAGTATGAGAGAAAAACAAGCAAGACTTACAACAGGCGGCAGCACGACGTACTGAACGGATCCGGCTGGGTGGCAGGTACCAGCTGGCAGGAGCAAAGAAAACAGGCAGCACAGTTTGGACATTTTATAGTTTATGCAGGGCTCAAACTCAAACTGAAGTACAAAACAAGTAAACTGTGAAATTTAGCATAACACTTGTAATATTTCCACCTCCAGTAGTAAGGTGTTTATTTTCCTGTTTTATTACCTCGGCAGTCGGGGAAGCCGTAGGAGCCGTGTGCGCAGCTGTCGCACCGCAGGCCGCCCACGCCGGGCAGGCAGGCGCACCGCCCCGTCTGCTGGTCGCAGCTGGAGTACCGCGACCCGGCGGGGGAACACTGGCAGGCTGCAGGCGGAAGCACAGTCACCGATATGCTTCTAAAACATCAATCAGCGGTGTCCAAAATGAGGCCCGGGGGCCATTTGTGACCCTCAAACTAATTTTGTGTGGCCCCAACTGCAATTCAGAAAGGATCCAAATTTTGCCCGTATAGATGCAGAAATAAACTTTTAATTTGTAATCATGGTAAAAAGTATCACCAATATTGCCTCATTAAACAGGAAAATGTAAAGTACAACAAAGAGTTTGTCTTTTCATAACCAAGTCTGAACAGAAACCAAGCCTATCCAGAGACTTTTACTGAAAAGACAACATTGCTGCATTTAAAAGAGCTTCTATTCTCTCTTAAACCTGACTAAATACAGAAAGTCTATTGAAAAAGTGACCCAAATCCTGTTATTCAATGGAGTCCAAAAGAAACTAAAAATTAGACGATTTTCTTTTACATGCAAAATCTTCTACGACTTATTAGGTCTATTGTAGATTGTAGAAAAAATATGGTAAATTTCTGTCAAAAAACTTAAATTTTGAGAGTAATCTCAGAAATTTTCTAGAAAAAAGAAGGAAATTTATAAACTCCAACAGTCATAAAAATGTTAATGTCAAAATGTTGAGATTTTGACATTGTCAGAAATTTTCTACAAAAAAAGGGGTGGGGGGGGGGGGTTTCTGAATTTGAAATGTA